CCCTCCTAAAGTCTAGGGCTACCGTCTTGCTGCAGGCCCTAGTATTGGTTAATAGTATTGGTTCGGGGAACTAATAGCATTGGTTCAGGGAGACTCAAAAAAACAATGCACTATCTGGTTTCTACTAAGCTGAAGGTTTTATTTAGTTTCATTTTTATGATAATCTTAAAGAATAGAAACTTTTTAAAATATACATTTTTAAATGAGAGCTTATGTTATGCGAACATGATTGCAAGCATGCAAGAATCATAGGATATGAGAGATCTGTGCCCATCCCAGAAAGAGGGACAGTAATGGAACATGAGTCTAGAAAGAGCATCCTAGGTCACCAAATCCAGTTCTCTGCTCTTTCAGGCATAGCATCATGCAAGTCTTTTTGTAAACGGATCGAATTCAGTCTTTAAAATTAAAAAGCTGTTTTTTTAGACTCCTTGGTTCTAATTAGAAGGTTGCTCCAGAGAAGAAACGTGTTCAAACTGAAGGGAGTTGGATTGTGGTGTAAGTTCATTGCTCAATACGAAAATGAGGCAGCAAGTAATGGAGGTATGAATTAATAAGTAGATCACCTACAAGGCCACCTTAATAGTGAATGTAATTGTGCCAGGTTGAGTTTGTAGAATGCTTTGGATAAAACATCCTAAACAGGAAAGTGACAGGTGCTATTAAGGATAGCTAGTGTGAGATCAAAGGCAGCTCTTATGAAACATAAACAATTTTCCTCTTGAGAAATGAAGATTATCCAGGTATGCATATATCAAGTACCACTTGATTTCCTTTGGCTATGAAGGAGAAGGTGTGTGAATAGCACCTGAAGTCTGTTAAAGAGGGGAATACAGGCAGAATGAACAGAGACCAAAAGGAAAATCATAGAAAGGGAAATGTCAGGTAGAGAATTTAGGTGGAAGATTGAAGACCATGATATCAAAAAAAGATTAGAAGTTGTAGAAAGGGCAAACACAAAATGTGGAGACATTTCACTTTGGTAGGTATTTTGTCCTCAACAAAAGAGAAGATCAGATAAATATAGACATGAAAGATACGTAGTTAACTGAGTCATGCAAGTGGCAAATAATGAAACTGGAATCAAAGTGAGGAGGGGGGAAAAAAGGTAAATAATCCTGACAGGTGACTGCAAACTTGGAGATAGTATGGAAGAAACTTGGGACAGCAAGCTGTTTCCTTGTGGCTCAGAAAATGATACTGCAATAAGACTATTAGAAACTAAAGAAAGCTCAGAGAATTGCTACTGATAGCAAAGAAGACACAGCAAAGCTAGCCATTGTTTCCCTGGTGATGTGCTACCTTGAAGAGGGTGATGCTTCCATGGGCACCATGCTGGCTCAGCTGCATGAGGCTCAAGATGATGACACCAAAGCTGTGGAAGAAAGTAGAAAATAAGATGATTGAGATCTTTTTTGTGTTACTTATAAATAGAGATACACGAAAGGAATTAAGAGGAGAGTTTGTGTTTCCTGAAACACTGAACTACTGTAATGAGAGATGGTGGAATGTGTGGTCTTCACATCAGCAGATTGGCTAACACTTTTGGGTTTAATAGATGCGGTTTTGGCAGATGGCCACTTTTTTGGTCAGCACAGCTCAGCATGACTATTACTTGTATTGCATTAGTATTTAACTTCCTCAAGCTGCCACCCTCCCCCCTCTGCTTGCCTTCACTTTATACAGATTTATACAGACACTCTGTAAGAAATATTCCCTACCTCACATATTCCATAATACTTTCTCAAAGCAAACCAGCAGCTCCATCTGGAATGATGAGGTAATGACTTGTCTAATTGTTTAGAACTTTCTGTGTAAAACACGTTATTGTTTAGAGCTTCTTGTGCAATACCCATTATGAAACTTGGACTGACATTGGATTTACACACTGGTCTCTGTCTATTTGTAAAGCTGCCACTGATGTGTCATTTTGGAAGTTTGAGTAACAAAAGCATTCTAGTCATGTGGTCAGGGGTGCCAGGTAATAGGGACTTTTTTTCTTTATATCAAAGAAATGCATGTATATAGAATAATACAACATGCATCTATTTTCTTCTGGCAGCTACAAATACAGTGCCTAAAAGAACAAACTTTGGGTGGTGTCACACATTCAAGCTGACACTTACTAAGTGCAGTTAAAATGCAAGCAGACATGCAAGCAAGTGGTTTAGCATATGTTAAGTGCCCAAATGGCTTTGCAAAGTTGTTCCCTTTCAGGCGAGGGTTATCTCCTAACTTGCACTAACTTTACTAGGTTGCTACATTACAATGATTTGCAGCTGTTGCAAGTGAACACGTGACAAGGACCAACAATTTAACTGATTTGGCCTGAAGAAAGACATGTAAAGAATTGTCATCTATACAAGTAGCA